GTAGTAGTAGTAGTAGTAGGAGTAGTAGTAGCAGTAGGAGTAGTAGAAGTAGTAGTAGTAGTAGTAGTAGTAGTAGTAGTAGTAGTGGTGGTGGTAGTAGTAGTAGTAGTAGAAGTAGTAGTAGTAGTACGTAGTAGTAGTAGTACGTAGTAGTAGTAGTAGTAGTAGTAGTAGTAGTAGTAGTAGTAGTAGGAGTTAGTAGTAGTAGTAGTAGTAGTAGTAGTAGCAGCAGCAGTAGTCGTCGTCGTCGTCGTCGTCGCAGTAGTAGCAGTAGAAGTATGTCCTCATAGTAAACTTGTAACCACAGTATGAGAAACCCCGAAACCCTACTCGAAATATCAAGGCCCCGATAATACCAAACCTGTATGGTCGATCCCTTAAAGGAGCCCTGAGCCCCCAACCCTAAAGGAACCCTGTTCCAAATTGAAAAGGCCCCGGAACCCGAAACGACCCTAAAGCCCTCGTCCTCGTCATACATCCTTTAGTGAACCCTTAAAGGACCCTAAACCCTGAACCCTAAACCCCCCAAGAAAACCCTGTTATCTTGGCTCCTTTCAAGAATCACAGCGCCACAACCAGGTTAACCCTAAACCCTAAACTCTAAACCCTAAACCGCCAGAGACATCTACCGAGGCTCTGGCGCGGGCCTTCCTCGAAGCCTTGTTGGGGTTCAGGTTTTCGGGAGCTTTGGATTGGGGTGTTTAGGGCTTAGGGGGCTTAGGTTTGGGGGTTTAGGGTTTAGGGTTTAGGGGGCTTAGGGTTGGGGGGATAGGGTTTAGGGTTTAGGGGCTTGGGGTTGGGGGTTTAGGGTTTGGGGTTTAGGGGGCTTAGGGTTGGGGGTTTTGGGGCTCAGGGCTGAAAGGTTGTAACTGCCGGGGTTTCTAGGGGATGCTGCAGAGTCTACTTGGAGGATCATGGGACTTAGTAATTAAGTAAGGTTATAAGTCCCTTAATTGGGGTTATAAGTATAGTTACCCTAATTATAACCCTACTTACTAAGTCCCATGATCCTTTAAGTTTAGGGGCGTCTTGAAGCATTCTAGGGTTTCCAGTAGGTTATAGAAATTCTACTCGGGCTCTTGAAAGGTTCTTTAAGCGGCGCGGGTCTAAAGGGCTTGGCTATATTAGGGAACCCGAAACCCCTTAATGCCACGTTTTCGACGGACCCGACACAAGGGAGATTTAATAGAGGGGCGATTTTAAATAGAATAGGGCTCTGAGGTATATTCTACTCTCATTGTAACAAGGAGCCCCCAAAATCCTTAAACCCTAAACCCTAAGAGTAACGGCAATGTCTTCGGCCTTGGAAGTTTGGGTCTCTCCGGCCAAAGCCTGCAGACCGGACTCTCTCAGACAATAGGCGGCACCTGTAAAGTACCGTGAGGAGTAGGATCGCTGTACACTGAACAGTAGAAGTTTTCTGCGCTAGATAGTAGGATCCTTTTACCCAACATGTTTGGAGGATCCTGCTTTACAAGCTCCCCCCTCAAATACAGTACCAAGATGCATCCCGTCAAAGTCCCTACATGACGAAAGCTCCGATGTTGAACCCTTCTTTATAGGCCTACCCCGTCTCCAAACTCAACTCCCTAGGCAATGCCTCACACAACACAAAGTGAAAGCTCTAAAGGACCCCCTGTCAGCACACCCTAAACCCGAAACCCTAAACGCTGAACCCTGAACCCTAAACTATCGACCAAGATGCAAGATTCCATCTTCACGAAGCAAAGCGCCCTGTCCAGGGCGTCCTCGAGACTGCTGGGCTCTTGGTAAAGGAGTGCAACGCTTGACCGCTCCCAGGAGCCGGGCATCTGGGTGGTTGTCAAAATTATGGTCCCCTTTTGGGTCCTTATTGTAATACGACACCTATTATTTAGGGTACCCCAAAAGGGACCATAACTTTGACAACTACCCATCTGGTTTGGTATTTAATGCAAAAGCCAGGGCATGGGGCTTCAGGGTGTCTGTCTTTTTTTTTTGGGGGGGGGGGGAGGGGGGTCCTTATTATAATTATAGTA